TATAATTTGGAAAAGCAGATTAGAAAACAATTGCAGAAGCATATATGCATATAATTGCATATAATTTGAAAAAGCATATAATATTTCTTTCCTGATTAAAAAAAAAAAAAAAAAAAAAAAAAAAAATGAGTTTAACGTGTCACGTGAAGTGAATTTAAATTATACGCCAAGGTATTAAATTATTATATGACACGCTTGTAACTTTGAACAAAAAAAAAAAAATCTCGAAAATTTCCAATAACCCAGCAAGTTTTTCAAAGACGTCGAGCGCGAGTCGCAAAGTGCGATGGCATGATTCGCATGATTTGAAAGCCGCGGAGATGCGATTGCGGCAAATCGTCCCGCATACTACTCTTCAGAGTCCAATTTTTACACTTTCAAGATCCAAAAGTAGTCAGCGCAAAACGCGCTAAGTACGTTGAAGTAAGTTCGCGATTGTAAGGGATGAAAGATTGTTTAAAGAAGGGCTATTGTTCTCATACTAAAGAGGAATCCAGCAATAGCGATTGTTCCCCGTGTGCATTCGCTTTTCATTTTGCTTCGCCAAACACTAACAGAGAGACAGACAATCAGAGTGACAGAGTGAGAGAGAGTGAGAGAGAGAGAGAGAGCCGACCGTAATTTTGAGTACTATTGTTACCAACGACAGTACGACCACAAGGGATTAAAGTGCTTTCCAAGTAAAGCTTAAAGCTGCACGTATAGCCATGTCATGGTTACTGATCTACGAACGATCTAGTTGCATGCACTCGCTTGACAACCAAGAATAGCTGCACGATGTTTTCAGAAAAAGAGAAAAAGGAAAAAATATTCCTTCGAATCTGTTCAAATCTACAATTTTTTCTTTGTTTTTTTTTTTTTTTAATTTATATACGAAGATTCGTATTGTCGAATCGTCTAGTTGCTTCGTGTAATCAACCTGGAGAGAAAAACACTCGACCTGTTCGTCGCTTGGCTTCGTACCGTACCTTCGCGGAAAAAGAAGAAAGGAAAAGGAGAAAATGGATACAGCTTCCGTTTTCGGCGAATAGAAATTTCACTGAATGAAAAATTTCTATTCACCGAGCGCCGGTCATCGTTGTGCACGCTTCTATTTTAGGGAAGTGGAAGTCATCTTTCTTTCTTTTCTCCTTTCTTTTTTTTTTTTCTTTTTTTCGTTGTACGTTTGGAAGAGTCGATAACAATGTTTTCGAGCCGTCGCAGCGATAGATACAAGGGAGCACGTAGATTCTGCTTGATCAGGTTTTATGAAGATCTGCTTTTGAAAGATTTACGATATCTCTTTTGAGGCAGATAAATTATACTATCGTACGGGTGCGGAGGAGTGGGGGGGGGGGGGAGAACAATGTTCGAGAAGTTATTCGTGCAGCATGCTCAGCAATTCATTCTTTCCCCTGTCGTCATCCATATTTAAAACTAATATCGTAATAGACCGTATATCTAGAACGTGGATGGAAAGGAACGATAACTTTTTTTTTCTTTTCTTCTTCTTTTTTTTTTTTTTTTTTTTTATTCACGTACGGCGAATAAAAAAGAAAAAAAGAATTTATTTGAAACTATAACTTGACGAAAAATACAGATCTCTTCTAGATGTACATACAGATATTATCGAGCACGGACGTTCCGTTCCAATTTGAAAAGCTGAAGTCACAAATTATATTTTAAACGAAGTTATTGTGCCTCGTGGTTAAGTAATAATTACACGATCTCGATAGTATCTTTGAAAGTTTGGAATTGAACCGCGAAGCGCAGGGACTATAATTACTATTTTAGTTGGTTCGTTAGCTTGTCAATACGGAATTCAGCTAGCTTCCATAATACTAGTGCATACACCTCTGAATGGGTTCGTAAATACGCCATTGTTCTCTCTCTCTCTCTCTCTCTCTCTCTCT